AAAAAAAAAAAAAAAAAGAAAAGAAAAAGAAAAACACAACATTACCAGTTGAACATGTAAAACTCTCAGCAACACCAAAATGAACATACAAAATTATAATATCCAATTCCCAACCCTCACACACACATACACATACCACCACTACCATTGTCCAGGTTGCAAAATGCATTTATTATGGCACCCATTAGTCACCTCTTTCCCACATGCTATCCTAGACAAAGCACCTATAAGTATCAAAGTATCATTAATGGCCACAGTAAATTCATATCAGAGCCCAGCTGAAGGAAACAGGATATTTACATCATATTTAGTCTCCTGGGAAGAAAACCATGTGTTTTGGGATGGTGAGAAAGGTTCTAACCAAGCCCACAAAATCAAGGCCCACAAAACCTTGATGTTCAGGAAATTGGTGTTGGAGAACCATGAGCTATGCATTCTCCACTTATAGAAATGAGAACCAACTTGGAACACCTCCCCTACTCCTTTGGGAAGGACTAACCCTGAGACTCCTGCCCTTCCCACCCCGCCTTGGAAGAGAGAAATCCAGCAGGAATTCCAGGGACAAACCAAGAGAAAGTCATCCTGGGGGTAAGCCAGAAGTTGAACCTAGGCCAGGAGCCTGGTGGCTCCTAGCCGCATAGGAAGCTGTGTTAGGAGGATCACGGTTCGAAGCAGGAAAGTCCCTGAGCCTCTCATCTCCAATGAACCACCAGAGAGCTGGAAGTGGCGCTTGTGGCTCAGCGTGGTAGGGCTGCTCACCTTGAGCAGCAAAGAGCTCAGGGACAGTGCCTCGTCCCATGGCTCAAGCCCCAAGACCAACAATGACAACAACATGTAGTGTCCAGCCTCTGGTGACCATCTCTCCCGTCCCTGAATCACCTGCCTTCAGACTTCTGTGTTCATGACAGAGAGATAACCTGGTGGCTTTTTTTAATTTTTTTCCCTCCAGCCACTGTTCTCTGGGTCTGTGCTAGCGTAGACAGCCATACTCCTCCTGAGACTCAAAGAAAGCAATCATCGCAGTCCAGGAGGAGGCCCAGTGCCACAGGGTCACACAGCAGCCGCCCAGCCTGGGCTCTACGGGGTCATTGGACCCAGGCCTCTGGTCACAAAGCCCTGTGGGCCTCGAACCAGGATCCTGTAGGTCCTGGGGCAGTGCTGACGGTAGAGGTGCTCGGCCAGGGTGTTGCTGCCCGCCTGCACGGTCTTCCTCTCCCGGCGGTTCATGAAGTTCCACAGGTGCAGGGCGTAGGAGGCCGGGAAGCTGGGGTGCGGGGGGTCCCACACTTGGTAGTAACGCCTCCACTCCCGGAAGGGGATGGGGTAAAACCTCTGGGGGTGCAGGAAGGACACATTCTGACACTTGAGGTCCCCCAGCTCCTGGAAATCGCCCAGCCGGCACCTCACCCTCAGCATCCGGGTCATCAGCAGGGGGCCCTGGTTGCCCCAGAGGTGCGAGTTGTAGTGCTCCACGAAGTTCTCCATGCAGGCCCACAGGAAAGGGTGGCGGGGCTCGAAGCCGAACACCCCGTTGCTGGACGAGCGGGAGCCCTGCGCCGCCAGGAAGTTCGCCTCCGGGATGGGCCTGAGGGAGATGATGTCCGTGTCCATGTAGATGCCGCCGTATTTCCAGATGATGGCCAGGCGCGACGCGTCCGAGCTGACGTGCAGCCAGTATTTCTCCTTGTCGCTGTTGATCTACAGGAGCAGCAGCCAATCAGCAGGGAGGAGAGGGAGGGGCTTCCCGGGAGGGGGCGGGGCCCAGAGCCAAAGGAACAGTGAGGAGAGGGAGGGGCTTCCCAGGAGGAGGCGGGGCCCAGAGCCAAAGGAGCAAAGAGGAGAGGGAGGGGCTTCCCAGGAGGAGGCGGGGCCAGAGCCAAAGGAGCAAAGAGGAGAGGGAGGGGCTTCCCGGGAGGGGGCGGGGCCCAGAGCCAAAGGAACAGTGAGGAGGCGGGGCTTCCCAGGAGGGGGCGTGGCCCAGAGCCAAAGGAACAGTGAGGAGAGGGAGGGGC